ACAAGATATATAGGGAAGTAGGACGCGCGATAATTAATGCGCTAGTTTAATAATAGACTACTAAACATTCAATATACATATAATAATATGTCTCATCTATTTCGTAGGAGAATCGTGACGAGAGGAAAAAAGTTCGTCGTTACGTCATGATCGAATATGAGCCGCCACATATGTGCTACAAGGACGAGAACGATAACATCGTCTGTCACGTTTACACAGAGTACTCCGGCACGCTACCAGTGAACGGTAGCCTCGGACAGGCACTGAATCCTGAAAACGAGGATGAATGGTGCGCGTATCCCGTAGCCGAATACTTCGCCTGTCGCATACCACACAAACTACAAGTCTCCATGGCCCCATTTAATCAGAGTTGCTCCGTAGAATGCGACCTGGTCGATCCATATACTCTCGCGGGTACTCTAATTGTATATAGAATTAATTATATTAATTATGCAGAAAAAATTCTATTAAAATCAATGATTAAGTGATTAGAAATGTAGTATTTAAAAAAAATTATATTCTCAAGATCAAATTTCTACTGCAATAATCACGTTCTAATACTTTTACGCATTAGAACGCAACATAGGTATAATTTTTGCTGCAGTAGTTAAAAGGTGTAATTAGGGTTCCTTTCTGAATCCACTGTGGTAGAGGTCGGTTACCGAAATGAAATAAGTTTGGAAAGAGACACCTAAACGCGCCATGTATCACCTTCTTTCGCTCTATTCAATTTTATCTATCCTGACAGCGGAGAAACAGAAGAATATGTAATATCTAATTCCTGTATGCCGATGATAATGTATATATGAATATATGCATATATATATATATATATACGATACGATAATATATAAATGATACAGATAATGTCGATGTTTCGCAGGTAGCGTACTAGTGGAAAGCCGATGCCAACATACCGGAGTGTGGACGGAAGCAGCGTTCTGGATGTACCTGTTCGTGCGATCGGTCGCGGATATCTTCCCGACGACAGCTGTCGCCCTGATTGACGCAGCAGTGGTGATTGCGACAAGGGAGACGTCGTGTGGTCGCGGCGATGTAGGACGCCAATTGGCTTTCGGCTCCCTTGGTTTCGCTCTGCTAGGACCACTGACCGGCTATCTGAGCACTCTGACGAGCAACATCGGGCCGGCTTATTGGCTACCTCTCGTTCTACACGCTGTATTGATGATCCTCGCGGCCATCGTTGCTCTGTCGGCAGACGGTATGCCCCTTAGTCCACCAGAATGGTGGTGGCACACGAGAAGCGGAATGCTGGCGTTGCCAATGAGCGCTGTCAAGAGATACGGCAGCGAAACCGTCGCCCTGATCTTTGTCCTGCTAGTCATGGGAACCTTTTGGAGCGCGATGGATAGCTACCTACCTTTGTAAGAGTTCGTTAAGATAGCCTCAGGTCGTTAAAGGAATAATTTAATTGCGATATACATAGTGCATTCGTTCGAAATATAAAAAAATTTCTTTTCTTTGACACAGGCATCTACAAAGATTAGGAGGCGATGAGCTTTCCATCGGGATCGCTATGACTGTCGGAGCGATACCTGCGTTCTTGTTCCTCTGGAAGTCTGAACATCTTGTAGATTACTGTGGACACAGTAATCTTCTCATCACTGCCTTTACGGTGTACATAATCAGGTAGGTAAGTTTTTTTTCTAGTCTAGTCTGTTTTTCTAATCGCGTTTTTCAATCAGTTTAACTCAGAAACAAGATCTTGTCGCTAGCGGCTAGGTTTTATTTGTCATTCGTTTCAAAAAGTATTATTGAAAATTCTATTGATATACTATATTGATAAATTTGACTAGATTCACCGGACTGAGTCTCGTGTCTGATCCCTGGTGGTCTCTCATTTCGGAAGCTTTAGAAGTATTCACCTTAGGAATAATGTGGGTTACTGCCATTCTCTACCTGAGACACTTGGTACCGCGTCATTTGACCGTGACTGCCCAAGCATGGCCTGTGATAGCTCACTTTTGCATCGGTACATTTCCAAGCTGTAACTCAGAGAACGGACAAATAGAACTGAATTATTAATATTAAAATTCTGTAATTAATACCTGTGATTAATTCATAGGCCGATGTCTCGGATCTGTCATCGGTGCTTATATCAATCTCGGCGATGAAGACATCGTACAATCACTGAGATTCGTGTTTCGTTGTATGGCGGTAGCAGCGGCCATCGTTGCCAGTCTGTATTTCGTATTGTATCATGGTCTATTGAAGCCGAGATGTCACGCACATACCATCCAGGGTCCCCGTCAACCCCCCACAATCGTGCAAGGTAAACGCAGGTGCTTTAATAATGCGCACCTAAGCTAATATCAAAGTTGTTAAATGTACTCCTTCTAACTTTAATTTTGGCTTTACAAGCTGCCATAAGGGATTACGAATTGAGTAAGTGATCGAACACGCTCAAGATTTTCTATACATATTTCAGGTTCTTCAGAACATGAGTATTAATTTATGTGTTACCTAATAATAATATATCTTATCTACGCGGAAATCTTCAGAACTAATTTTTCTGATATTAACGAGATAAACTGAAATACATCACGATTTGAAAAAAAAAAATCAGTTCTACGAGAGATTTCCTCGAGAGATGTCACTCTTTTCTGCATGTGTATCACGGAGAACTGTGCTGTTTCCAAACGCGCGCTATGTTTATAATTTTCATCGTTTTCATAATTTTTTTTTACAATTTTACAAATGTAGCAATGAACGGAAATGGAAATTACACGCCGCTGAGAGTATACCATAATGGAATGGGCAGAAAGGGTCAATTTCGATACTGAGACGTTATCTGTATGAACGAATGAAGAGCTCTAGAAACAACACTGCAACAAAATGATTCCACAATGCAACGTATAAATGTCATCAGCGACCAAGTACTGACCAAGTGTGTGTTCTCAAGTATTTTGCGTTGCGTCCCATTTATCGTCATTTGTTAATTTAAGTCGACTCGACACATTACCGCGTTTCTGTTTCTTAACGTTATTATTTAAATAAATCATTATCACAAGGATCACTACTTGCTCAAGTACGTTCTACGAGCTATATCAGTATCTATTTGTAACCATAAAGCGTAAGCATATATAGCGAGCAGCATAACGCGAATAATTTTCACGTATCGCAGTAACAAAAAGAACATTTTTTATGTACAAAACGTCCACGAAAAACGACAAAGTAATATTACGACAAGTAATATTCCTAATATTCCTTTAGTTTTCTATTAAATTCGTTTTTCTTTAATACAATCCTTTTATGTTCACACAACTCTTGTGATATATACCTGAGGTATATAAAATTAAAAATGAATAAACTTTTTTTGGTAAAATTATTACAGCGAGACTTACATGCGTCTTCACATGTAATATAAATCCGATAAGTATATCAATAAAAGATGTCTATTTGACTAGACAAATGTTACGTTTCTGTGAGTTGATATAAATGTATACAAGAAAAATGAAATAAAAATACGTTGGAGAGAAACGATATTGCCATTTACTGACTGTTTATAATATAATATTATAAGTTTATTTATATGCAGTACTGAGCAGAATTTCAACGTTGCTGACATGTTTTTAGCCGCTGAAAGAAAATGTATCCAATGGCCTAACCGCGAGACTTGCGTTACGATAAATTATATTAAATTTAAAGTAGGCTAGCGTATTTTTATGTGTTTTATATATATATTATATGTATATATATATATAACAATTTATTTTCTTCGTACATTTTTCTTTTTTTTCCCCACAAAATTTTAACGTGTACATACACGCATAAGTTTGCAGTTACAAGTAATTAGATACAAATATGACATACGTGTTTGTATTTATTGCATAGCATACATATATATATATATATATATATGCGCGCTGATAAAAATAATAAAGAATATCCAATGATCGGTTACATAATATAACTCGTCAAGCTAATATGCTATAAGAAAAAGCGTATAACATCTTATTTATATTTTTTTACATTCAATGCTCTTATGTACAAGTTCATGCAAATTACATATTTAAACAAAATTGAAAGATTTTTGTTGTTAAATAGTGGAAAATGAAGAAAAAAATTTTTCAACAAAATCATATTTCATACTTTATTGCAAACTTTGTATTTAAAAATTAAAGTAAAATAATAATTATCACCTGTGTTATACATTTTTCATATATAATCAATATAAAAAGAAACAAATTCGGTATGTTTAACATGTAAAAAAAGATATCATTAATACATCTGTATTAATTATTTTCATAATCGAGATATATCATTATTTATATCTGTATAAAATATTTTTCGTATATTAACTGTGTTATGGGAGTAATAATTAATAACGGTTAATGATTATAGGAATAATACTCAATATACGAAGAGTTTTATGTAGAAAGATTGTCCTTTAAACTGCTGAAAATTTAAAAATTGAAAAAAAAAGATAAATAAAAAGCTGCCTTTTTATGAAAATTAGAAAATACAAAAATATCAAAGAGTATGTATACGGATATTTAATTTTTCATCTTTCCAATTTTACATATTTTTTTCGAATTTTCCACTATGATTTCAATTTTTTAATTTAAATTTGTGTTACCAAGACATTCTTATTCAGTGACAAAAATATAAATTGTCAAGAAAACCGATCAATGTCATTTTGTGATTATTGAATAAGGAAAATTTGTAGAAAATTAGGAAAAATGTGTGTATGTACATACATTATTACATTTAATCATAAAATTAAAAAAAAATCGCATTATTTATTGTTAATTTGCTAGATAAGATTTAGAGAGATCTCAGTTTCTAAGATATTTGTTGTGAACATATTCTTGACATTAATAATGTTGAAAATATGTTAGATATATGTATACTTTGAATAAATGCAAAAAGAATGGACTTGATTTCCGTTGAAAATGAACTTTTTTTTACTTCATATATCGGATCTCTTTAAAATCTAGAAATGAAATGTACAACTTTTATATAATACAAATTGTTTTTGAGATATCGCAAAATATCGAAATTTCAAATCAAGACGCATTTCTACTATAATGATCAATTCCAAAATTGAATGGTAAGAGTATTTAATCTACAACAATACAATTAATAAATAATCCATTCTCATTAATCATCGATAATAGTACAATCCTCCTCACTTTCCGTGGAAGCAGCTACTCCTATATTTATTACATCATTTTTATTTGAATTTGCTTCATTATCTGACACAATCACATCATCATCCATTGCATCTATATGAATTGTTGGCAATTCCGTTGGTTGAAACTTGTCGTTCAATTCCATACTTACTTCTTGTATCTTAATATTAGAATTACTAACAATTTCTTCGTCATTTTTATCCAGTGTCTCACTTTTGTCATCTTCGGTCACTGAGTCAACGTTATCACTCAAATGTTTTTCTTGTTGGCAATTTTTCGACTGCTCAACAGATACAATAGGCAAGTCGATATTTTTCTCTTGTTGACAGTTTTCCAATTGTTTGGCAGGCACGACAGACAAATCGTTATTTTCTTCTTGCTGGCAATTTTTCAATTGGTCGGTAAATACAACAGATAAATCGATATTTTTCTCTTGTTGGCAATTTTTCAATTGACTGCTAGATACAGCGGATGAATCGATATTTTCTTCTGGTTGAGAATTTTTCAATTGATCAGTAGATACAATAGATATATCGGTATTTGTTCCTTGGCGACAATTTTTCAATTGATCAGTAGATTCAACTGATTCAGTAGATTCAGGTAAATCGATATCTTGGAACAAATGCGAAGCGAATGGTAGATCCGTTTGCAGTTCGTGAAGTGGCGTTTCGTCCGAATCTATCAAACTCTTGGAATCTTCCGTCTCAATGCCATTATCCTCGATGTGCTGTAAATAGTAGATAAACTGTTCCTCGTATTTGCCGAAATTCTTGTCAGATGTAAGTGGGGAATCCAAAACGCTATCGTCCGTTTTCGGGTCGTAGGCGGTTTTCGTAAGCATAGAATAACCGATGCATTTCTCATAATCCCTCGAGACAATATCATACACCTGAATTGCTTTGTCTACAGACAAGTGCACACTATCATCACCAATACCACGATGCACAACATTTTTTTTATAAAATAATAAATCCTTAATAATATTATTATCTTTAACTAAATCGGATGGCTTCATTATCCGACATTCCTGACTTTCGTAGTCAGATTCAGTATCAGAATCGTTGACGCAAGTCATATCTAAGGGAATATCTACATTTTCTCGGGACGATTCTAATGAATTTTCATTAACCGAAGCCAATGTTTCCGTTTCCATTTCCGTCTTCTGAGATCTCCTCCATTCAATGTATTGGCGTGCTATCCTATCGTTGATGTGTACTAATTGAAAAACTGTTTCACGCATATTGCAATAGAAATGCATGATTTTCTGTTGCGATTGTATTTCAATGTTTTCGACTGCATTGTTCAAGTCGAAGAAATTATACATTTTTTCCTTTGCATCCTTTAAAAGTTTATCCAATTCTCGGCTATGTGGCAACATCATTTCGCTAAAGGAGACATCCTTTTTTACAGTCGCGCATGTCATTCTCAGAGGCTGTTCCTGCCTTACACCATCGTCGTCACTCTTTTCCCAGGTGAGAGCAACAGGTACAATCTTATCGGTGTCTGTGTTGTCTCTGTCTGTGTCGATCGTCAAATTAGTTTGCTGCTCGACGACCCTTGGTTCATCATCGGAATCGCTATCGAGATCGATTATGTTAGGAGTTAATGTTATACCCAAATCTTTTGGCTTTGGAAGAATAAATAGAGGTCTGCTGTTGTTGTCCACTGGATTAGGTATCGACACCATTGTGTTTGGCGAAGATTGAAGCGACTGCGACGATTGATAAGAGCTCGCTTGCTGTGGCTGGTACGTCAACTGTGGCTGCGGCTGTGGCGGGATAATAATCCGATTCATCGGAATAGGCGTTTGAATGTAAGCAGTGGACCCCGAGGCGTTCATAAAAGATGTGTGATACAAGGAAGATGATTGCTGCTGCAACGCATTGGGATCGAATCTCGACGGTAACGAAGTATTTGAATTGATCACACTGGGCGATGAAAGGACGATACTCTCTGATGGGGTTACAGTTGAATTTTTTTGACCGATGACAGATTTCGATGATTCAGCGTTAAAAGATTGACCGGTAAGGAACGATGTCGGGCGTGGTCTGATAGGAATTGGCATTCGGTTGGCAAACTGTGCTCCTTTCGTAACAATACCGTTCTGCATCATCGGACTGAATCTTCTCAGTTGTTTACGTTTTATATGTCCCGGTATTCCATTGACCTTAGGTAAATACGTTTCGTCTTCTTCCTCGGAATTGGATTCGAGTCTTCGTCGCTTACGTTTACTTCTGCGCGGACAACACGTCGATTCGTCCAAATTCATCTTCTCCTCGATCTCTTGAGTGCTCATCTTCTTGTCCTGCGCAAGTATCCTAAAATATACCGCATCAAATATGAATGCCAATAAAGATTTCCACACTGCTGGAATGAAATACAACTCAATGAAAATTAATACAATCTTGTATTATATACATAATATCTTTGCGATACCTTCTCACTGTTTGTACATGTTGAAGTAGAGCCCAGCACACAGCTCTTGCATTATACAAATCACTTGGATGGCATACAAAACATTTCCATTTCTCATCGGCTTCGATCTTTTTTCTCACTAAAGACGAAAAGTTTCTCCTTATACATTTATAACAGAAAGTATTGCTGCAATAGGAGCAACAGTATAAATTGCCACCATTGGCGCACCATCGGCAGAACATATCCGTAGCGTCATCACCTGAGAGTAAAGTAAAAATACAGATTATACAAGCATATCCAGATACAAGCACAAAACATAAAACATAAACATACAATTATTACATTACCTTGCTCAAAACAGCCATCGCCATAAAAATCCCGACAATTTGAACACAATAATGTACGAAGTACAGGATGTTCAAACATATTATGCGCTTGTGCCGGAGCCGAACCAATGTGTATGTCGCAGGCCGTACAATGAATTCTACGGAATCGCACCGATGCGATATCTAAAAACAAAATGGGACATTGGATTTACGCTATCCCATTTAATTCGTATCCCTTGTAACAAACCTCAGGTGCTCTAGAGCGCAATCAGAAAGCAAAACAAAACTACAAACTAAACTAGGGACTACATGTTACAAGCCAAGGCATGCTTGTTTAGAGAACTGACCGTTGCCGAATATGAGCTTGTGGTAATTGCTCTCCTCCTGGGAGAACGGGGCGAGGGCCACGCTGGTCGCGCTGGATGCCTGATCATTTTCTGGTGTTACTGAAAACCACGCCAAGTAAGTAAATAATAGGTTAGAGTAATACTCGTGAAAATTATTCTACGTGCGGATAGGGAGCCGCGCGTCACTGCCGTTTGTTGCTTCTTCACGCCTACGTGCTTACCGTTCTCCTTGACGTCTGTTTCTTCCTTCACCTGTACCTCGAGCATACTCGAAATATCCATGGTGCTCCTGTTTGAAGCTTCGTTCACTCGTCACAGGAGAAACGCACCTTTCAAAACAACAC